TCTGTCTCACCTTTCTGGAACTGGAAGATTTGTTGAATAAAACTTTCAGCATGCCTGGGGTGGGGGTGGGGATGGGGTGCTATTAAAAATTTTAAAAGAGAAAAAAAATTTTCAGCAAAAGTTTTGTGGGCAATCACTTTGTTCTCCGGTCTGCTAAGGTCCTGCCTCTTCATCTTATGTTAAATTTTGCTTGTATAAATACTGGGTTGCCTCTTCTTTTGTTCCTTTTCTTTCTCCCTGAGAAAATCTCTCTAGCTACAGAGCCCTTTTAGGTGCCTGGATTAACACCTTCTTGTAAGAAACCCAGGGTTGATCACTCCTAATGCTAATTTTCTGCTGTCTCTGTGCAGTTGATGAATCAAAGTTAGAATTTCAGTTCTGCCTGTGGTACCTCTTCTTACTTGGCCAATTTATCTTCATAAGTTTCAGGGTCCAAGACACAAGATGACTACTTAGATATGAAATTAGACAGAGAGCCGGGCTCGGTGGCTCAGTCTGTAATCCCGTGCCTTTGGGAGGCTGAGGTGAGTGGATTGCCTGAGCCCGCGGGTTCGAGACCCGCCTGGGCAGCGAGACCTCATCTCTACAATAAATCAAAAAATCAGCCGGGCGTGGTAGCGCATGCCTGTAATTCCGGCTACTCGGAAGGCTGAAGAGGAAGGATCGCCGGAGCCCAGCGGGTCGAGGCTGCGGTGGCCGGGAGCAGCCACTGCACTCCAGTCTGGGCGACCGAGTGAGACTCCAACTAAAAAAAAAGAAAGAAAGAAATTAGACAGAGGATGAAAATATGTCTCTGATAACGACTTCGTGTCAGGTGCAGAATCTGGACTATTTCTCTCAGAATTCAGTTGGATGGTCCCCCTTAGTATTATTAGTAGTAGTAGCAGTAGTAGTAGCAGCAGGATCAATCTGATTTCCTCATACTAATCCAAATTTTGGGTCAACAGTCCTTTCTGGCCTTTGAAAATTATTTTCTCAAGCCGGGCTTGGTGGCTCAGCCTGTAATCCCGCGCCTTTGGGAGGCTGAGGTGAGTGGATTGGCCGAGCCCGCGGGTTCGTGACCCGCCTGGGCAACTTGACGAGACCTCATCTCTACAATAAATAAAAAATTAACCGGGTGTGGTAGCGCGGGCCTGTAGTTCCAGCTACTTGGAAGGCTGAGGCGGAAGGATTGCCGGAGCCCAGTAGGTCGAGGCTGCGGTGGCCGGGAGTGGCCACTGTACTCCAGTCTGGACAACAGAGTGAGATTCCAGCTCAAAAAAATAAAATAAAATAAATAAATAAAAGAAAAAAGAAAAAAAAGAAAATTATTTTCTCCCAGACTCCCTTTCCCAACACCATCTGACCTTTCTTTCCTGCCCAGGCCTCAGGTCTTTTTTCTGTTTTATTTCTGCCTTTGGATAATTCCCTGGACTTTGATTTTCTATTCAGATTCTTTTTTCTCATAACCATATTCCTCAAATGCCATAAATATCTGTCTGTTTGCTGAACAGATCATGTTTCCAGGGTGATTTTTTTAAGTTGGAAGTCTCACTCTGTCACCCAGGCTGGAGTGCAGTGGCACGCTCACAGCCCACCCCAACTTACATGCTAGGTTTAAATTTCCTGGGCTCAGGCAATCCTTTGCCTCAGTCTCCTGAGTTATTGGGACTATAGACGTGTGCCATCACACTCGGTTCCTCTTTTTGATTTTTCGTAAAGACGAGATCTTGCTATGTTGCCTAAGCTAGTCTTGAGCTCCTGGGCTCCAGCAATCCTCCTACTGCAGCCTCCCAAGGCACTGGAATTATAGGTGTAAGCCATGGTGCCCAGCCTCAGGGTGATAGTTAATACCAAGCAACCTACTGTGTGTGTTATACTCCCTCAGTGTATTTTCTGACTGCCTACAGAGCCCCTCCAACATTGCCTACACATTTGTGACCCACCTGCCAAAGGTGCCCCCACCCCCGCATGGCTATCCTTACTGATGTGGCCTCTCTCCAGCTGAACTCAACTTTTCAAAAACTCATTGCATTGATACCATGCCTCATAATATTCATTCTTTGAAATGAATATTTTCATTCCAAAGTTTGAATTCTGTATAAAGACATTTTTCACATTCATCTCCTTAAGTGAGGCCTTTGGGCCAAATAAAGTCCCAGCTTTAGGGTATCCAGCTTTAGAAGCAAGTTGCAGTGTTTATGTTAGGTTTTCTTCCTTTATTTAATTAATTAATTTATTTATTGAGTCAAAGTCTCACTCTGTTGTCAAGGTTGGAATGCAGTGGCATGCTCACAGCCACCACAACCTCAACCTACTGGGCACAAGCAATCCACCTCAGTCTTCTAAGTAGCTGGAACTACAGGTACATGTCACCATGTCCAGCTAATTTTTTGATTTATTGTAGAGATGAGGTATTGCCAAGTTGCCCAGGCTGGTCTCAAACCTGTGGGCTCAGGCAATCCTCTAATCTCAGCCTCCCAAAGTGCTGGGATTATAGACTTGAACCACCACGCCCGGCTGGTTTTCCTTCTTTACTTGCATCATACAGCTAATAATAATTGTTATCCTGTGGTGGACCATTAATATTATGGGCATTCTGATGCATGTATGTAAATTAGCCAAGGTGAACCTCATGGCAACATTATGAGGTACATATTATGATGTTTATTTTGCAGTTGAGGACCCCAGAGCTGATATGATACTATGCCTTTGTTTTTCCTCCCTGGAGAACCTGTACACTTTTCCTCAAGTCTCGCTGGTACTGGCTTCCCACCTTGGGAAATATCCCCTGCAAATTGGGTTTGTGACAAGTGATGTTGAGACAGGGTTTATCTTGGAAAAAATAAAAACAAACTTTTTCTGGCCCCACTTTTTGGTTCACCACTGGCTATACAGATTTCTGCATTTCAGGTTCTCTCAGAAATGGCAACATGTACCCCACAGGCCAATAGGCCCATTTCTGTTTTCCACAGAGCTTAGGGTAAGAGGCTGAAAGGGAGGAAACAGAAGAAAGAAGACTGGAGGACCCAGCTGCTGTGCGTGGCAGAATAGGAAGTTGCTGACGGCAATGACTGACACACACACACGAGTGGGTAGCATCAAATGAGAGTTCTTAGAAGAACAAGCAGGACTGGGCGTGCTGGTACTCAAGACAACGTGCAGACAGTCTGTTCCTGGGTCTTGCTGTGTGGCCTTCATCTCAGGTTCTTCTCTGAGAGGCTATGCAGAGAGGGAGGTGAGGCAGTCAATGGGCAGGATACAATGGCCTAGGAGCAGTGTCAGGCAGACAATCCAACTGCCAACAACCACGGGACCCAACCCCACAGTAGAGCTCCCTTTCTTTTGGGTAGAGTGTCCTGCAGGGTGACCCCTATCCACCCCTAACTCTCAAATCTAACATTCATCTCCTTCCCCCTAGGTGCTGCCCAGTACCTGGCATGAGTTTACTATTGTGATCCCCAATCCAGGACACTCCACTGCCTCAGAGTCAGTTAACCACCTCCTTTATAAGGAGAGTGGGGAATCTTCTGGGCAAAGTAACTTTCTGTAATAAAACAAGGGAATGTCCTATTTCTAATGTGGAATGCAAATACTAAACAAACATGTTCTTAGTGTTTTGTTAAGATGCATTTAGATGTCTTTAACTGACAACTAAATTCAGGAAAAGGTTTGACCTGGCAGGATGGTAGGTATGGGTTGGTGAAGCACAGGGAGGAGCGGAGGTCGTGGCTCCTCTGTAAGATGGATGGTCCTAATAGCAGCACAGCTAAAGGCCAAGGATAGAGGCTTATGGATCCACTGGAGAACTGGGAAGACTGAGCCTAGGGTCTCAGTGGGTTTAGCAGTGAGGGCCCCTGTGAAATTTTAGTAGTGTTCACTACTGACTACTTAATATGTTCCAGGCCCTGAACATGTACGCTCTGTGCCCGTTTAATGTGTGGCACAGAGCATACAGGCATACCTTATATGCTCTGACCCACCAAACAGGCCAGAAACAAGCAAGAAGATAACAGATGCCCTAAAGGGAAGAACCAGATGAAGGGAATGATGAAGAGTGCCATGAGATCTGGAAGACAAGCATCATCCAGACCAGAGTATGTCAGCATCATGGATGTGTGTTTTCTCACTGAAACAGTAGCTGGAGATTCTGAGGTTTAATTAGGAAAGCAGGTTAAGATACCTTAGAGTTGGGATGCCGAGGTGAGAGGATTGCCTAAGTCCAGGGGTTTAGGTCAGCCCGGGCAAATTGGTGAGACCTTGTCTCTATAATAAATCAAAAAATCACCTGGGCTGGTGGCATGTGCCTGTGGATCCAGACTTGGAAGGCTGTGGTAATCATGCCACTGCACTGCTTAGGTGACAGAGTGAGACTCCAACTCAAAAAAATATACACATAAGAAATACATAGGGGTACCTAAAAATGTGTACCCATTGTAAGTATGATGTTCACCCAAAAGATGACATGAATCAAATGAATGCTAGCATTACCATGTGACAGGCAGGACAAAAATGGCAGAAGCATGGTTGAGTGAATATCATACTACACATTGTTACCGTAATTTAATACAACTTTGAAAATAATAGACAGGGATGGAGGCACACACACACCCTGTATATATAATACACACACACACACACACACACACACACACACACACACACACACACACACACGATAGAAGACACCAGATAGTTTACACTGAGGTTCTCTTTATTTCTCATCATTTCTTTACAACCATCCAAACAGAGATAACTCCCACATGTACCTCCCTAGCCCGAATCCCCCTTTAGGTATTTAGATTAGTACTTCTAACTATATAGGATGCATCTTCCCAAAGATCCCCTCAAACTCAAGTAAAGATTTGCCCACCAGCCCCTCCCACAATCACTTTTTCCCCCTGCCTCTCACACTAAGTAGTAGTTTGAAACTGTGACTTCTATGTTGCCTCAAAATGCACTTACATCTTGGGCTTCAGTGTCTAAGTGCCCAGAATAAAGCTTCTGATATATGCACCCAGCTAGGCACGCATTAAACAGGGGCACAGGATGGGCTCCAGGTCATAGAAGGTCCTGTCCCCACAGCGAGGACAGGGGTTGGCACTGAACCAGATCATGCCAGGCCGCCCTAACTCATGTAGCATCTGCCTCAGCTTGGTGTGCAGATATACAAGTCTCCCCACATGGAGGGTACCTCCAACATCCTCATAACTCTCCAGTGGGGCAGGATACAGCACATGGCTGAGCTTGCTCAGCCCAATGGTGCGGCGCAGGAGGTCCTCCAGGACGAACATGGAGATGGGGTTCTCACTGAAGCTGAAGGTCTTAAGCTGGGAGCAGTGACTCAGTGCAGGCAGGATGACCATGAATTGGGAGTCCATGATCCCACACTCATCCAAGTCCAGATCCTGAAGAGTGGTGGAGTTTCTCTCCAGCAGAACTTGGAGGGGTTCAGGACTTATATTGGTCAGTGTGACTCCACTCAGACTTAGGTTATTTAGCTGACTGACATTGGAGCACTGGGACAGATGAATCAAATCTGCTTCTGAAAGCAGGCAATTGGTTAATGAGAGGGTCTCCAGGGGACTCTTCAGGCACCTGTGGAGAGAAAGCGCCATTAGTCTGGGAAAGAAGGCAGAGGATAAAGTGGGATGGGAAGATCGGAAAGCATCAAAACCCAAAGTCTTCATGATTATGGTCAACTCTCAGAATGCCATGATGTAAAGGAACACTCAAGTAAGTGCAAGTATACATGTAGTCATTCCTCCATTACTTATTTGCTGTATAATTGGGTCAAGTGAATGAAATCTCAAATACTCCCTTGGCTCACCTGTCAAGCAGAATCCAACATAAACCTCTTAGGTGTTGTGAGCATGACTTGAGAGAGCCTGATCCAATGTCTCAAGTAAGAAAGGGGATCAGTGAATTTTAGTAGAGACACAACTGAAAATGCTGTCAACTCATGCTTCTATCTGACGGCCACTGTTTGGGCCATAGTAACCTGTTGTCTCTGTGTCCTATGAGACTACTGGGAAACATACATAAGGATAAACTTAGATAAAGTCGACAACAAAGGGGGTTGCCAGGCTGCAGGGGCTAGCTTAGACCACTGCATCATCAGCAACCCATCTACCACTTTTTAATAATTTCTCACTCTTACTCTTTCATCCTTGTCTCCAGAATCTTCCCTTTCCCACATATTACCTTACCTGGAGTTCAAAACAACTCTGTACAAAGATGAAATCTGGGCTGGCCTTGGTGGCTTACCCTGTAATCCCAGCACTTTGGGAGGCCAAGGTGAGTGGACTGCCTGAGCCCGCGGGTTCAAGACCAGCCTGGGCAACTTGGCGAGACCTTGTCTCTACAA